GCCTGAAGTTGTAGCTGACTAGAGGAATGCAACACATTGTGTGGCAACCAGGTCAATATTTTGCGTGCATCACGTATGAAATTGAATATTTTGAGTGTTTTGCGCGTATTTAGAATGATGCCATACGGACGGTCACGGTGCTAGCAGTGCAATAATAATATTTCTCTCGTTACTGCATCTATTTAGAGGCATGTAGAACATTACGGTATGTGTCGTATCGCCGGATATAATATATAAATAAATGGAAAATCCGCCCCTTGAGACGACTAGGTAGGATCGCTTCACTCGCCAATAATAATTGTAGTAATGGAAGTTGCCCAGCCTCACGCGGAGTGAACGAACTTGCCTCCTTGCAATCTGGGTTAATTATTGCACTCATATGAATTCCCCATCCACATTAAAACATTCTTTTGATATTGTAATGAGCAGTTGGACTCTAGGTTCCAGACTACCTCACTAGTGGTGTCCTACTTCCTACTCTCTCACTGTACAGGATGGTATCAGTCCACTCTTTATTGCCAGTCAGGAAGGACACTCTGATGTAGTGGACATTCTGCTAGAGGCTGGTGCTGATGTCCACCAGGCAACCACCGAGGTATGATCACTGGAGACTAATCAGTACATCCATTATAGTGTTTTAGATATTGTAGCGTCGCTTCTGCACGTTCAACAGCTTCCTCAGGTATAGCAATAGATCGAGCACACATGAATTTAGCAAGGTACTTTTATTATAGTGTGTGAGTGTAAGGGGCGAGTTATACAGGGGAACGGGATAACATGTGGATATGTAAGTGAGGGGCAGGTGAGGAATGTTCAGTGGTGCGTGAGACAACGTGAGTCGGAGTCATGTAGCTTTGTTATATTTGGTATGTATATAAAGAGACCTTGTTTCTTCCAGCCATCCCTATATCCCTTTCTACACTAAACTGGGAACCCTCGGCAAAATACGCATGCGCGGTACTGCTAATTGATGGGCTGGGCTTTTTACTCGTGATCTCCTGCTTTTAGCTCGTGGAGAGTCTGACACTGGCTGGCTACAGTAGAAGATAGCATGCTGGAGTCAATAATAGAAAAGAGTGGGGGTTGTTTGTTGAGGAAATCGATATTAAAAGTACCAAAGTAGGAAAAAAACCTCTGACATCGATGCTCTCAACAATACTGCTTCTCTATCATGGGGTGGTCGATACCACACTCCCACATGAGGTTTTTGTGTTGGCTTACTTGCATCATATACAGAGACCAAGTGGACCTCTAATCCATTGTTCCCAGACAGTAGCAGTTGTGACTCTAGTGTGTCAGATATAAACATGGCTACTCTTTCACCACGACGATGTCTGTCATGTCGTATACAATGGTACCCTTGTATAGAACACTCCAACAACGCAATTTCATCACAGAGCCATGTTGATGCATACAATATCAGGCTTCTCAAGGGCACAGTAGACGCGTAGCTAGTTCATCTATCTTTGGGTGAAGACTTCTTGCATTGTAGTGTATTATGCACAAATCTGTTTTAGAGCTTTCACCCTTCACGTGATGTTTAAAAACGTCGCCATAGCGTCGATCTCAAGAGGGTGACTGACAGCTGTCTCAAGTAGATGACTGACCGCTATCTCAAGTAGGTGACTGACCGCTGTCTCAAGTAGGTGACTGACCGCTGTCTCAAGTAGGTGACTGACCGCTGTCTCAAGTAGGTGACTGACCGCTATCTCAAGTAGGTGACTGACCGCTGTCTCAAGTAGGTGACTGACCGCTGTCTCAAGTAGGTGACTGACCGCTGTCTCAAGTAGGTGACTGACCGCTTTGTATGTTATAGACTCGTAATAAAACTACGCTCTTCAAGTCCATCGTAGTAAAACTACGATCTCGTTTACGCGCATGCGTCATTGTATTTTGTATAAGTTGTAGCTATGGCGTAGCTACACTGTAGCTACGGGGATTGTTGGTTGAGGAAATTGATATTAGAATCTCCTAAAAGTACAAAAGTAGAAAACTCTGACATCGAGGCTCTCAAGAACAAAAATATGGATTTTCAATTGCTTCTCTATCATGGGGTGGTCGATACTACACTCCCACATGAAGTTTTTGTGTTGGCTTACTTGCATCATATACAGACACCAAGAGGAACTCTAATCCATTGTTCCCAGACAGTAGCGCCTGTGACTCTAGTGTGTCATATATAAACATGGCTAATCCTCCACCACGACGATGTCTGTCATGTCGTATGCAATGGTACCCTTGTATAGAACACTCCAACAACGTAATTTCATCACAGAACCATGTTTCTGAGATGCATACAATATCAGGCTTCTCAAGGGCACAGTAGACACGTAGTTCATCTATCTTTGGGTGAAGACTTCTTGCATTGTAGTGTATTATGCACAAATCTGTTTTAGAGTTTTCCCTTCACGTGATGTTTTAAAATGTTGCTCCTGCTGCCATGGCGTCGATCTCAAGAGGGTGACTGACCGCTGTCTCAAGTAGGTGACTGACCGCCGTGTATGTTATAGACTCGTAATAAAACTACACTCTTCACCGCGAGCCCATGTGAAGGGGTTATGCCCATGTGCATGAGTGAATTTTCCGGAATAATTATTGGCCTATTTTTCCAGCATAATTCTCAATGCTCATATACCCCTATTTTTCTCTAAATTATGCCAGCATAATCTGCCATGGCCTATCTACAGCCTCCACGTACTGATACTTACTGGTGACCGACCTTTTACATTAGCTTTTGGCGTTTAAATGTGAGTTAGACCTTCAATAGCTTAGGTCTCAAGCGTCCCGAATCAGTCTGGACTATCCCGCTAATCATCTCTTCGTCTCGCTGTCCTGCTTACCAATGCATTTATCCTGCTCTCAGGTCAATTGGGGTTGAGATGTATGTGTAACAGTTGTATTTCCCTGGTACTGTCTGTGATGGGTGACATTCTCTCTCATCAGATTGGTGCTGTTCCTCTGGAGATAGCTGCCGGGGATGGACATACTGAAACAGTTCAGAGACTGTTGGAGGCAGGAGCCAACGTCAACCACCAGAACAAGGTGTGTGTTTTGGTTGTCTACACTTACAGTATATACATACACACCTATCTTTCTTCTCTCTCCTTCGTGTCTTTCCACTCTCTCTTGGTAATGATGACAGCTCAGGTGTAGCTACACAGTAATAATAAAGTAAATGGGGGTAACTCCAGACACAGAGGTAACTCCGGACATGGGGTATAACACCAGCCTTGAAATTATTCGCTGCGCAAAACAATGTGAAGAAGATTTGTCAGCGCTTTGGTAGGTAGCAATCAAGTGAAATATAATATCCGAATCTTTCTCTTGTTTCTGAATAGCGAGTTATGTCCATGTATTACCCAGTGTCCGAAGTTACCCCCATTTACCTTACTTCTTGATTATCAAAGTGTCACCTTGAAGTGTTTGCATTGTATATTTGCCACTCATTGACTTCTTCTACTCCATAGGAAGGAACCACAGCCTTGCTCTATGCAGGATGGCAAGGTCACTCAGAGGTGGTGAAACTACTACTAGGAGCTGGGGCCAGAGACATTCCTGATAAGGTAGACCAACTCTAAACATGTAGAGAAAAGAGTGTCCTACTGTCTATCCTGATGGAATTCTCTCTCTGCCTGTCTCTATAGTATAGTGTGCTATCTTCTCTCTCTTCATTGTCTGATGAATGTCTCTCTCTACAGTTTGGAAACACTGCTCTGAGCATGGCCAGAGCCAACAACCACAATGATGTGGTACAGCATCTACTGCAACACCAGCCAAAGTGAAAAGACTAGACTATAGCCACAGTTACAACCACTTATGTACACAACACCTTTTTACGTGACTTTCTGGACATAATTATTACTGCACTTTACAGATCTTGTTTTTGTGATGAGAGCACAGAACATTGTGCATTATTACTTATATGGTATAGAACCTTTAATATACATTGGAAGGGAAACACCTTAGATCTGGTGTTAGGTCAAGACAAATAGCAATGAAGATACACCTCTCACTTCACACACTGCAATATTCATGGTACAAAAAATTATCAATTTAGATGGTGACTGGTGAATCATTGTACAACTTGTCAAAATACACCATGCTTATTGTTACAGTGACAAACATAATGTATGTACATTGTAGCTAACTAGTAACTAGGATGGAGTGTTGTGTGGTAGTTGAGTAACTCCAGTTGTCACTGTCTGGAGAGGAGCTCTCTGTCTCCACTCACTCCACGACCCCTACAACAACAACCAACGCTCTTTTTGGTGATGGTATAATTTTACCAGCATTTCGTAAGGTCACATGGCTCTGGAGAAGTGCTTTGGGCTTTTTACATAGCCTACATCAGCAAAGCTTGATTATACTGCACTCCCCCATCAATGATTATTACTTTGTTGCAACTTCAAACCATGCAACATGTTCCATCAATAGGTATGCCTACTACTTTGTGTACCATGATACAGTTGCCTTATCTCAAGTAACAGAAACTTGCATGTGTGGCCTTTCTATGACAAAAGAAGGTCTCCTTTTTTGTGTTTGATTTACTTACAGAGAGACGATGGTAGTGTTTATCTTACATCATGGGTCTCCAGTTTCCAGTCGGCAGAGTCCACCGTCTCCTCCGCTAGGGCAACTACGCCGAGCGAGTGGGAGCAGGAGCGCCCGTCTACCTGGCAGCCGTCATGGAGTACCTGGCCGCTGAGATCCTCGAGCTGGCCGGCAACGCCGCCCGCGACAACAAGAAACAGACGATCCACCCGCGCCACCTACAGCTCGCCATCCGCAACGACGAGGAGCTGAACAAACTTCTGCAGGGAGTGACCATCGCCCAGGGAGGTGTCCTGCCCAACATACAGGCCGTCCTTCTCCCCAAGAAGAGCGGAGGGATGAGCAAACAGGCATCTTCCCAGAGCCAAGAGTACTAGTCATATATCTACCCCAGAACAGTCTGACAGTCATTATCATCATCCCTCCACTGCCTCCTGTCTACCCCACATTCCGTTCACCACTACCACATGTGGCAACCACTGGCCGGGTCAAGTCCACTCCTGACCTCTGGAACTCTAGAGAGAGACAGACAGAGAGGGAAGAGGGGGCTATTATTTTGCCAACACCTGTAATCGTGGAAGCCACACCAGGCATTCTGCTTTTTAATGTCTGTCTGTACAGGGCACTTACCATTTTACCTAAGAAAAATAGCTATCCTAGACTTGCATACATCTACAACCAAAGTTCCTAATATTTTACTGGTCCATGTAGCTACTCCGAGGCACGGGTGCCTTCTCAGAGGTTTCTTTACCAATGCTATGCTTTGCTGGTGCTTCTCCGCTTTACCGAGGGTCCATTTTAAAAGTTCAACTGTAGGTAGCATGACTATATTATGCTGACAAATCGTTTAACAGTACAAAGGTATTCAGGTTCTCTAGCACAATTTGTGGAGATTATGAGAATGTGACAATGAACAGTAGACACCTGAGGCCAGAAGGCTCCTGGTCTTGACAGTATCCCACTGAGCATCCAGTAGTCTGCTATAGTGGAGGTTGACTACTCCCTTCATCCCTCCACTGGGCAGAGAGGGGCGGGGCTCCAGGACCTCACCTTTGAACCTGGCACTGCTACGTGCATGTATATACAACCTGAGACCAAAGTGTACCACAGAGTGTACCACTAAAAGAGTATTGGATCAACTTACACACATCAAACTGTTATATATACCCAAAAGAAAGATTTCGAATAGACTATCATAACATTGGCCAAAATTTCAGTGAAATGTGTCCATCATTCAGAGGCATCGCAGGGTAGCTACCTAATGCACTATTTTATCTGTATTGGCCAGAACCAAGTGTCCTTTAAGAGGGTCCTCTTTTGTGGTTACAGTTTATTAGTCAGAGGGCAGGGGAATGAATTTGCTGTGATTATCGCAGTCCTACAGAAGTGACCTGTTCGTGACGAGATGTGTGGTTATGCAACATCTGCTGGTAAGTCCTGAGCAAGTGAGGGTTGAAAAATGCAGTGAAATTAGTGGCCTCTGGTGTGTGGGGTTCCCCTGATACTGTGGGGAACCAGTGAAATTTCCACCTCCTCAGACCCCCATCTAGCACTGACACTCTCTCGTGACCAAACAACTGTGGACAGAACAAAATATGACAGCTACTTAATATAAATTTGGGCTTTCTTAAGAAATAGTAGCAGAGATCATGAAGACAGCTTAGAGTAAGTAATCTCAATGCGTACAAACACCATGAACATACACTACTTGCATCGTTTGCTGCTTTATTCTACCACTTTTCTAGTCTCGTCTACCTTAGCTCTTGTTTGTACGCGCAGTGCATGATCCATCAATGTATGTCTGCATGATGGGTCGTGTGCAATAGACAACACTTCTAATTTCACGCAACATGTTGCATGGACCTAACATAGAAGCTAAGTAGCTAACAAGGTTGCACAGTGAATGGAGGCCATTAGGAGAGGAGAGAAGGAGAGAGAACTGACTCTGAACATCCACCAGACTCTAGCAGAGGCCATCAGTCCCTCACTGTGTCCATCATACACCACCACATGATCTCCATTACCCACTCCCATCTGGACACATGGAATAGTAGACAGCAATGTCTGTGTCCACCATGACAGCATGCATTAGACTGAGTGCTCTCAACCGAGCTATATAGTATGCAATTAAGTAGCAGGCATTGCTAATAAAATATAAGGCACCTCAAATACTCTGTGCTATAGTACAGAAATCCATGTGTCCATCACACAATGCAATGTGAGAGCAGAGAGAGTGGCCCCTGACCTTGGCCACGAGGGTCGATCTGGAAGCGGTGATGGGAAGGGATCATGTGAGGGTAGGGAGAACTCTGCTCTGACACCTCGTCAATGTCAAAGTGCTGGGCTCCAGCCAATCTCTCACCCAGGAAGGCCGCCCTCCCCTCTCCCGACATGGTCCACGAGGCTGAACACAAGTGATTGTAGACAGCTTAGCTACATCATAGAGTGTGTATAGCATCTCACTTGAGCTTATCCAATGTAGCTATAGCTACACAGCACCGACGACGGGTGGCGAGGTCCTGACTCCAAACGATGCCGTCAAAGTACTGGAGGAGCTACTCCCAGCACAGAACCAGTCCTACGAACTGGGCCTGAGGCTGAATCTAAAGCCACACAAAGTAAAGAGCATCCACGCGATCGTTTCCGAGCCGCGCAAACGCCTTCTTAAATCGTTCTGGAGTGTCTGAGAATCGTCGTTCAGAGCGGCTCAAAATGCAGAAAACTGCGCATGCGTGTATGATCTTACAAGCCCTGCCCATTAGTCCCCTCGTCTGTGTGTGCAGATAGTAATGGCCGAAGGCAAAGCCCAATAACCTTGATTTGGAGTAGATTACTTTGTGAGATTTTCCATTGTGCACAGCATCGATGACGGGTGGCGAGGTCCTGACTCCAAACGATGCCGTCAAAGTACTGGAGGAGCTACTACCAGCACAGAACCAGTCCTACGAACTGGGCCTGCGGCTGAATTTAAAGTCACACGAAGTAAAGAGGCATCTACACAACCGTTTCCGAGCCGTGCAAACACCTTCAGTTTTTGAGTGTGACCATTTAAAATTTTTTAAGGCTTACTTTAATTTTTTATGCATATATTATGTACAACAATACGGCATTTGTGGCCGTGACATAAAAACTGCATTCATACCCACGACACTCTGCAGTCTAGGCGCCAGCACTCTAGCTCTAAGTTTGACTATCTTGTGTCTCTCTTGAACTCAGACCCCTAAATATACAAGCTCGTCTTACACCTTTGCCATGACATCACCACCTTTCTCCTCCTTCCCTCACTTTAATCATATCCTCACAGCACTTCCCAGGCCCAAGGTCATGACAGTGACGTTCTCCTAAAACCAGTCAACTTCTATAGAGACCCTTTCTTCCTGGTCTGCATTAACCTCTATAACTAGTGTCAATGTGTTTGGTGATCAATCTCAGCATCCTAATGTATGAGAAAAGGCCAACATTGATGGTCTTATGCAACGTAAATGTATGGGTATGATGTGTCTGCATTAGACAACACTCCTTTTGTCGTGCAACATGTTTCATGGGCTATCACATGTAGGCATTACTTTGTAGGATTATCTCTCTACTTGTTATTGCTAAGCTATGGACTAGAAATTCGGTGGTTGTTGTGCAGGGTAACAGTATCCTAGTGATGTGTGAGACTTATTCCAAGGACGGAACACCTCACCCTACAAATAAGAGATACTCTTGCAACAGGATAATGGAGAGGTGTGTACTACTGGAGGTCACCATGTTACGTGTTGCAAATGTATGACGTGTGCATGCAACATGCATGCTGTGAGCATTAGAAATTCTTCGAAATTCGTGTGACTTCTTGTTTGGCATACCCACACATTTGAAGTTGGCTGTGATTTTGACAATGTAGCATCGTGTATTATGGTTTCACGTGACTTAAACCACAAAGAAAGGGGAATGAATTAACCAACACCGCATTCTCCTCATTAGACATGAACACACAATAAAGTGAATATTACCTCAGTTGGTAGAGCACTCGCCTAGTGTGTTGGGTTCAAATCCCACCCAGGGCAACTCTTCCCTTTTCCTTGGAAAAAAAGAGTTGTCCTGGGTGTAGTTGACTTGTTTGCTTTGCCCTTGCCATTCTATGTCTCACATTTTTGTTGACACGTGGAAGTAAAACACCCACACACTCTCTGCAAACTATTTAAACCTCATAGCATGTGCTTAGTTTACTTTACATGAAATCTCTGTCAAAACAAATGATTGAAAGCAACACATTTTTGGTGGCTTACATGAACAACTTGTTACAGTATGATACAATGCTGTATACACTCAGCAATTCAGACCACTACATACGTAGGCTCAGCCTCACACTCCAGTTATACGGAATGTACTTCTGTTTTGTTAGTAAGCCCTGGTTTATCTGAAGAACCTAAAAAAGAAGTGCCTGTTGCATTGAAGATAGGCCATTTTACACATGTGCCCACGTAACTGTCATGTCAATCACGTGGTGTTTTGTGTCCCACTGTACTCAGATATCAGAGGCCCACTACAAGGCCTGTCTGTATGCAGGGCTGTGTGCGAGTGGCTCCAATGTAGAGGTGATGCCAGCTCATTGGGGGTACCAGGTTGGACCTTGTTCAGGGACCGCCATGGGAGATGAACTATGGGTCTCCAGGTCTGTACATACTCCAGTGTTATGTATAACTAGAGAGATTTCGAAGGAACTCGTATACCCAGCGTGCCCGACGTGTATATACACCCTTTCGTGTCTTGATCTTGTCTTGAGGTATGTTTGACAGCTCAAAATGTACACCCTAGTTGTGAGGAAGGCCTGGGAACAAGGGTTCACCCTTGCCTTACAGTGTGCTGTAGACTTTGTGGTCAGTTGTCAAAGTCCCACACAAGGCAGCTTTCAAACTTTGTGTTGCTTGCTTCACGGACTATCTGTAGATTTATGTGCAAACCTCACATACCTTTATTGTTTCAGCCCCAACTTCTTGTTAAGGATACACACTGTCACCACAAAAATATCAAATAGATCTCACTTCATTCACTGTATGTAGCTGAAGGTACATCTTGCACCGTGTGGCGGAGGATTTCGGAGTGATAGTGACACTGGACCCCAAACCCATGCCGGGAGACTGGAACGGAGCTGGAGACCACTGCAACTTCAGCACCTCCAGAATTAAGGCTGAGAATGGCATGAAGGTATGTCCATACCACCTCTCTCTTCTCATTAGCTTTGTCACTGGGACTGTACTTAACTTTAGGTACTTCCAAGGCTCTGTTATTATGTCACATTGTAGGACACATTTTGCTTTGCTATGCTTTTCAATATTCAAAAGTTTGGACAAGTAGCACTAGGGCCATACCCCACATGCGCACACATACAGTACTGGGCAGAGCCAACAATGAGATGTGTCTGTTTGTCGTACCGTCCTAGACATCAGCATTTCCTCCCTTTCCGGATGATTCTGAGACTGGGACTGTTGAATGCACAGTACCATAGCAATAGAGACAAGAATGTAATTGTGGTGTGTGTGCTGCAGGTGATGGAGGAGGCCATTCAGAGACTGGAGAAGAGACACAAGGAACACATCATACTCTATGACCCAGTGGAGTGAGTGGAGGGGAGAGAGGGGGGGCGATGAGAGTAGGAAGGGAAGTTTTGGTGATAATCAGGCACTTTTATCACTTCATCACTCGCTAACAGTAGTCTGCATTATACTGTACGAATGGCAAGTGCATGGAGCCTGGGTTTATGGAATGGTGGTGAACTAGTATGTAACCAGTTTTTCAATCATTCCTTCTCTCTCCTATTTTCCTCCCTCCCCTCTTCCTCTCCGACCCAGGGAGTAGACAACAGTCGTAGACTGACAGCTATTCACGAGACAGCTCACATTGACCAGTTCTTCTGGGGAGTGGCCACAGAGGAGCCTCCATCAGAATACCTCGTGGAGTCGCTCAAGGTTGACATAATTATGACATCATATGTATTAGCATAGGACCATTATCCACTTGACTAGAATAAGTTGGAGTCTCTCTTGTAGCATTTGACCACTACAATGAAAGTGTGTTAGAGAGCACTTTGTTTACAGTGGGTGTTCTATACTGTGTGGTACATACATGTTTGTGCACATGTAACAATAGACCATGTGATGCCAAGAGAAAAAAACGGATTCTAGTAGGCATTGTTATGATAGTGACAATATCAACTTTCTCTCCTCTCCCACATGACGTGTGTGTGTGTGTGTGTGCAGCTGGTCGAGGCTACCTTGAGGACAGAAGGCTGTCCAGTAATGGCGATCCCTACCTGGTGTGTGAGGCTCTGGTCCGTACTGCAGTCTTGGATGACTGGACTGACTTTGACTGGACTAACATGCCCTCTAAACCTTGACTGACTTTGTCTCTACTAGCTAGCACTGATTGTACACCAACTGAAATCTCTGGTTTACTTTTCACCATTAGTTTATCTGCTTTCACATCGTTGCAGTCGCAAGTAGCTCATGACTAATAGCATCGTCATGAGAGTATGTTGCCAACTTCTTGGGAAAGGGTATATTATTATGCTACGGAGAAGAGAGAAGAAAGAAGCAGGAATCTCATGCATAATCCGACAGTATCCCTCAAACTCCTAAAAGTAGGAGTTGGTTGAGCCAATTGCTAAGTCACATCCATAGGGTATGCTACATCAACAGCTGATCTCGAAGGCGAAGACATCACTTCCTATAATTATATACCTTAAGCGTGCGCTCAAAAGAGTGGGTGGAGCTAAACAAGTCATCCCTCGATCGTGCTGCGTACGTACGTACAGTATGTGTGTATCACCTTGTAGAAATTCGATCAGAGAGATTTTGGTAGAAATGGCCGAAGGTAAAGGCTAGAGTGCATGGAGTCTTTGTTTATGATTGTGATAAACAAGTGTATATAACCAGTTTTTCAATGTTTCAGTATATCTCTCCTATCACCCACTTCCTCTCCGACCCAGGGAGTAGACAACAGTCGTAGACTGACAGGTCGTCATGAGACAGCTCACATTGACCAGTTCTTCTGGGGAGTGGCCCACAGAGGAGCCTCCATCAGAATACCTCGTGGGGTCGCTCAAGGTTGACATAATTATGACATCATACATATTACCATAGGACCATTATCCACTTGACTAGTCAAGTGGATAATGGTCCTATGGTAATATGTATGATGTCATAATTATGTCAACCTTGAGCGACCCCACGTAGCATTTGACCACTACAATGAAAGTGTGTTAGAGAGCTCTTTGTTTACAGTGGGTGTTGTTTAGAGTCACGTACTATACTGTGTGGTACACATACGTACTTGTTTGTGCACATGTACAAAACGATTTTTCCCGTAAACTTCTGTATCGGGGTGACAGATCGTTTTCGGGGCGACGAATCGTTTTCGCGTCGACGATTCTCCTTCCGTGGCAACGTATCTCTTTCGCGGCGACGAATTTCTACGGCGACGATTGTTTATCGAGCGAGAGAATTCTGTCATAAAGGCGAAAAATCTTGGATTGTGGCGACCTGGTAAGGCGACGATATTTTGTGATCGGGTAGGAGAGTTGAAAGGTAAACTTTCCTAGAGTGCCTAGAGGGCTATAGCCAATACAGTACATTGATCGGTACCTTCCAAAGTCGTCCCGCCACTACTGGGTTTCGAGTAAGTTACCCTTTGAACTCTCTCACCTTGATCGTTACCATCGGCGCGGATGCGCAGCGAGGGTACTGTAGTTGGGTTTGTCTGTCTGTCTGTTACTCTCAATCTCACTTCTCGAGTGTCTGTTCGTCTCACAGAGGATACGACCTACCTAACGGGCAATGAAGGTCAGAAATTTAGAACAGTTTTCTCTGAAAATGCTCCGTTGCCGAGCTAGAGCGCTTCCGCCATTGTACGGCTGATGCGTAGTCGGCCATTTTTATCGCTGAGGAAAAGGCGCATGCACTTATATGGGTCCGCTTGCTCTGTGTATCTTGAAGGCACGAGAAGTCACAACGAAGGGCGTGTATCGACTCCCACATGCTATCTACTACTGTAGCTAGCCCGTGTCAGCGGGAGACCATGAGTATACTACATACTAATAGCAGCCCAGCCCATCAATTAGCGGTACTGCGCATGCCCAGTTCGCCGAGGGTTTGCACTTTAGTGCTTTTCATTGGGTTTGTCTGTGTGTGTGTCTGTCTGTTACTCTCAATATCACTTCTCGAATGTCTGTTCGTCTCACAAACGATACGACCTACTTAACGGGCAATGAAGGTCAGAAATTTCGAACGGTTTTCTCTGAAAATGCTTCGTTGCAAAGCTAGAGCGCTTCCGGCATAAATGCCGGTAGTCGCCATTTTATCGCTGGCGGATAATTCGCATGCGCTTATAGTTAGCACAGGCTTACCTCGACCGGGTCCGCTTGCTCTGTCTATCTTGAAGGCACAAGAAGTCACAACGAATGGCGTGTATCGACTCTCGCGTGCTATCTACTACTGTAGCTATAGCCCGTATCAGACTCTCTGCGAGCTACTTCGCCGAGGGTTTGCACTTTAGTGCTTTTCATTGGGTCTGTCCGTCCGTCCGTCCGTGTGTCTGTTACTCTCAATCTCACTTCTCGAGTGTCTGTTCGTCTCACAAAGGATACGACCTATCTAACGGGCAATGAAGGTCAGAAATTTCGAACGGTTTTCTCTGAAAATGCTTCGTTGCAAAGCTAGAGCGCTTCCGGCATTGTACGGCTAAATGCCGGTAGTCGCCATTTTATCGCTGGCGGATAAAGCGCATGCGCTTATAGTTAGCACAGGCTTACCTCGACCGGGTCCGCTTGCTCTGTCTATCTTGAAGGCACAAGAAGTCACAACGAATGGCGTGTATCGACTCTCGCGTGCTATCTACTACTGTAGCTATAGCCCGTATCAGACTCTCTGCGAGCTACTTCGCCGAGGGTTTGCACTTTAGTGCTTTTCATTGGGTCTGTCCGTCCGTCCGTCCGTGTGTCTGTTACTCTCAATCTCACTTCTCGAGTGTCTGTTCGTCTCACAAAGGATACGACCTATCTAACGGGCAATGAAGGTAAGAAATTTCGAACAGTTTTCTCTGAAAATGCTCCGTTGCAGAGCTAGAGCGCTTCCGCCATTGTACGACTGATGCTAGTCGGCCATTTTTATCGCTGGGGAAAAGGCGCATGCGCTTATATTTTGAACAGGCTCGGGTCCGCTTGTTCTGTGTCTGTGTATCTTGAAGGCACAAGAAGTCACAACGAAGGGCATGTATCGACTCTCGCATGCTATCTACTACTGTAGCTAGCCCGTGTCAGACTCTCTGCGAGCTACTAGCGGGAGACCACGAGTAAACGCATACTAATAGCAGCCCAGCCCATCAATCAGTGGTACCTCGCATGCCCAGTTCGCCGAGGGTTTGCACTTTATTGCTTTTCATTTATTCATGAATCGTCGCGGTAGGAAAGTTTCGTGCCGTCGTCGTCCTCAATCCAAGATTAGTTTCCTTGAAAAGCTTTCGTCGCTTGATAAACAATCTTAGCCGTAGAAATTCGTCGCCACGAAAGAAGAATTGTCGCTACGAAAGGAGAATCGGCGCCCTGAAAATTTTTTCGTCGCTCAGAAAACGATTCGTCGCCACGATTACTGAGGTTTACGGGGGAAAATCGTTTTGACACAAACGGCGCGCCATATTGGTATGATAGTGACAATATCAACTTTCTCTGCTCTCCCACATGACGTGTGTGTGCAGCTGGTCGAGGCTACCTTGAGGACAGACGGCCGTCCAGTAATGGCGATCCCTACCTGGTGTGTGAGGCTCTGGTCCGTACTGCAGTCCTGGATGACTGGACTGACTTTGACTGGACTAACATGCCCTCTAAACCTTGACTGACTTTGTCTCTACTAGCTACCACTGATTGTACACCAACTGAAATATCTGGTTTACTTTTTCACCATTAGTTTTTGTCTGCGTTCACATCGTTGCAGTGGCGATTAGCTAATGACATGAGCCTCTGGAGCACTGTCATGAGAGTGTGTTGCCAAATGAACAGGGCTTTAGAAAGGGTAGCTATGGGGAAGAGAGAGGGAGAGAAGAGAGAGAGTGGGTGGAATTGCAGCAATCTCATGAAAGAGACACAGGGCAACAGTATCTACACTATATAGGCAATTCTGCAGATTCAATCGCGTCTCAACCGCTGCATCTGAAACTGCTCTTATTCTTCACATGCTAACTGGGTCCAGTTTTCAAACGGATAT